ACTCACATTCGAATTCGGAGGAGACACTTGCAGTCTCTTACCACAGCCCGTATTTATGACAACAGTGATGGGAATATGTAAATGTTGCCACCTTCTTTTTAAGCCTGCATGGTCACGGGAGCACAGAGCTCTGTGGTCTGTGTGTGAGAGCTCAGGCAGCGAGCATCCCAGGGAGCAGAATCAAGAGATCAGGGAGGACAGCGCAGTCATCCCTGTGTAAATGTTATCTGAAGGGAGCTGCAGCCAGTGTGCTCCTTTCCCGGGAACGTTCAGTAGCTCCTGCTGACATTTGCATCCACCATATGGCGAGTGCAGTGTGGCTATCCAAGGCAGAACCCCTCACCTGAGGGGTGGGGTGGCTGCCCTTCACCTGAGCCCTGGGTTGTGTTCTGGCATCCTGTGCTGCCAGGTGTGTCGGTGCACCACCATACAGGCCTGTCTCTTTTTTTTTGGAAATGCCACTATCCCTATTAATGCTCTGGAAATATGTAAGCTGCATATATACAACCCACACAAATGGTAATTGGGTGAAGCTGTTTGTGGTCGTTGTGGAAGTTGGGCATGAATGGCAGTTTTTGGTCCATGTGCGTGCTCTCCTCAGCAGTTGCAAAGGCAGGTCCTACCACTGCTGGCTAACAGCTCATCTTGTCTTCCATTTAATGGTGTGATAGAAAAAACACAGTTATTTTGATGTTTTCTTTAGAAGGAAAGTATAATTGTGTGAGTGCACTCGTTTATACAGAATTCTGTGTGCAAGGAAAGTAGCAAAAATAAGATACATTTTCCTAAGACTCTGGGGAGCAGCATGTAAAAGATTTAATACAGAATTTAACACATAGAATAATTTGTGAAAACTCTTTGTGTTTATTTCAAAAGTATCTTATTTGTTATTATAAAATCAAATGTATAAGTATGCCACAATGTGAATATTATATGTTAATATATTTTTAATTGGCTAGAAATGTTAGCTTTAGAAAAAACAGTTTTGATAAAATAAATTTATGTGATTCTTTTACATTGCAAATATATTTTCTTATTTTATTATGCCTGTAAATTCATCTCAGCAGCAGCTAAAACAAACAACAGAGAAATGTTACATATTTATAGTTGCCAAAGCAATTGATTAGGAATAAGGGAGTTTTAAGCTCCTTACGGGCATGTAGTGAAGGCTATGATATTTCAAGGTGATTTTGAGGTCAAACTTTTATAAAGATTTTGAGATGCATTGATAGACTTATCCAGCTCACAAGTGTTGCATATCAAAAACAGTCCCTTTCCTTCTTCCTCCCACAGTTAGAATCCTTGTTGCACCTTCTTGTTAGGTCACATTTGCAAAGAACAGATGTGGAGATAAAACCCTTTCACCTACAGGGCTATTTCTTACAGGTCAAAGCTCAAAAATTTTAATGAAAAAACAAAAAAACCAACTACTAGCTTTGTAAATTCTTAGGTCTGGATAAACAGAGGTTATCACTTGCTACTGCAGTGAATCTGGCATCTTTTGAAAGCATGATTCTCTTCTAAAAGGAAAAGCAAGAATTAAGGTTAATTCTGCCCTGTACATTGCATTGGGAGTGATATATGAGTCTTATTAGTACATACAGATTTATGAGAGAGCATACAGTCCTTGAGAAGAAAAATCTCTTAAATTATTGTATTTTACCTCTTTAACCTTTGTTCTGATGCAAGGTCAAACTGCATATTTAAAATGTGTACTTGCCACATACTTTCTTTAAAGATTAAGACTGCTGAAGGTTGTGCTGAATTTGCCACCCTGATCACCTCGAACACTGGAAGCAGCGTGTAGAGTTTGTCAGGTCGTGATTCCAATTTGCCTGAGAGACAAAAAATGATTGCATTCTGTGGCACTCAGATTCCCATTCCCGTCGAGGCAAACAGAAACTTTTTCCAGAGATGTTATTTAACATAAGCAAATCTTTCTTACCATTTGACACTCTTCTCTTGGTGAAACCAATTAACTATGTATAGAAGTAGCAAACAAATAAGTAAATAATTGTTATTTGTACTGCTGGAAGAGGAAATAAAATGTGAAGCTGCTGAAAAGAAAGAGACGGTGGAGATGAAAGGAAAAGGTAGAAGGCAGGAGAAGTGGAACTAAATTTCTTGCTTTCATCTCACAGTAATTTGTGTGTTGTAGTAGCCCATCTCAGTATAAAATTTTGCAGTATATTGAAAGTCATCGGCTATGGGTGTGGGAAGATTCAATAACACTTATCTGTCATTGGCAGATAAAGAAGAACTTTCTGAATCTGCAAGAAGGTTGTCAGGGAAGCTTGTCAAAAGGCAGGGTTTACCTGAAGCCTAACCATGAACAAATTTAGGCTACTTGAGGCTTAAGGAACTGGTTTTAAAATTTAGCCTTTCATAAGAATTTTCTTTAAAAATGCCCAAGCATCCGTCTCAGCAGTGAGATGGAGCTTTCCCATGCTGTCAGTGCTGCTGGCTCCCAGGGATGGCTTGGTCAGGCCTTGCTTCCCACAGTAGATCATTTGGTGAGAAACTAAGCACAAAAGAAAACAGATTTAATAGAGTTGACTCCATGATAATTTCTAGGAAACAGCACCTCATTTAAAGGAGCACAAATGAAGAAAGCTATTTGTTATAAGATTGTCTAATGCTTCTCTTTAATGATCTGGATTTCATATATCAACTCATACTAAGGTTAAAATGAGATGGAAGGAAATTCAAGCTTAATCTCATTTTGACACAGAGTAATTAGGCACTCCCCAAGAAGCAGATGGCTTTGTATTGTAATTATAGTGCCCCCAAATGATCACTAAAACAATACTCACAATTCCTCTGTGATATATCTTGACAGATTCATAGATGGGAGAAAAGAAAACTTTCTTGGGTCCCTTACTGCTGAGGTATTTTTAAGTTTCATTTGGAAAATGCACTTCTGCGTATATGTTAATGACTTTTCCTGCTTGAATTCAGTTACTAGAAGTGCCCTGGAAGAGTAAAACCTTTTATTTTTGCTGTATTCAGGCACCTGAGGTGTGGTTCTGCAGAGTGGATTTCTGTGCACAGGGCATGGTGCACTGGTTTCCAAGGAGACGTGTATATTGTGCTTGGGGTAATGGAGATCTTGGGAGAGTGAGATTGGGTAGAACAGTCCTCTGTTTATCAGTTTACTCACTGATTAGGAATATAAAGTAAGAGCCTTGTAGCTTTCTAATGGCTGTACATCCAGCAGGCATTTCCTGATGTGACAGAGACCAACTCATGGCACCAATGCCAAGCTGCTTCAAGTCCCAATTACTTCCTTGAAGGAGTGACTTGTGTGGGGGCTCCTTGCGTGTTAAAAATTATCGTGGTGTTTGTCATCAATAATATGAGATGTTTAAGATGCATATCTGTCATGGTTTGAGATAGCCCCAAAATCCAATTCCCTAGCTCCATTCCCCCTCCCACATCTCAACCTAATGTGAGATGGGTTTTTCCAGACAAAACACACCAGACTCAAAGTGGGGGAAAGGGAATATATTACAATGACTGTACAAATAAATACCATATCACATTATACACATGATCACAAACTATCTCTACCATGACATATGTATTTACAATGGATCAGATCTCTTCTCCCCTCCAAATAAAAGTCCAGGAGGGAAAGAAGGACAGATCCCTTCCAGTCTCTTAACAGCAGCATCTTCTAAGGCAGCAGGTTTCTTCTTCTCATGCATGCAGCAGCTGTGGCTGGCTTTTCTGCCAGCATCCACGAGGGAGGTATCTAAGCCTCTCTCTCGGCCCCATCGCCTCACAACCGAGGGGTCTTCCGTGGGCTTCGTAACCCCAGACAAGGTCGTTTCACCACGTCATATCACGAGCACAGGGGCTTCGTGACGGTCTGGTATCTCTTGCAGGGCCTCTGTGCCCTGTCTCTCAGGCTGCCACCGTGGCAGCAGTGCGAGGGGGGAGCCAAGGTCAACTCCCCCCACATTCCATCTGGCCGTCCCGGTCCAGCTCCGGGACGCTCTGAGCTTCTCAGCTCCTCTCTCTCCGGTGCTGCATGTCCAAAACTGCTCTCCAAAATAGGAGTCCATGTCCCTCTTCTCCAAGAGGGGTCTCAAGGGAGTTTTGGGGGAGTGTGGTATCAGTCTTACCCCCAAGAACTCTGTAGCTCTCAGCTGCTGGCTCTCCTTTCCTTGGCTCTCCTTCCAGGAGTCCTTTCTCTGGTGCTGCATGTTGCTTCTGCTGCTCCTCCAGTTCAGGTCCTTATCTCTGGCTCTCTGCCACCGTTTCTCTGGTCAGCGTCGGCTGCTGCTCTGTGCCCATGGAGAAAACATCTCCCGGCATAACTACAGGCACCTAGCCCAGCTTTATGCTGTTCCAGGTCCCTGCAGCCCCCAGCCAGGGGCTGGGAGGGGGCCAGAGGCCCCAAGGGGCTCAGAGCCCCTTCCTCGTGGCTCTACAACATGGCCACCTCTCCTACAACCAAACTACAACTCTTCTTTTCCGGTCTGGTTGTGATATGTTTACATTTCTGCAGGAGCGTCCATTGGGCAGAATTTCAAAACTTCCAGGGGTTTCCACCCCTTGGGGTCTACCACTTCTCTTAGCCTCTGGGGAAAACAAGGTTCAAACCACTACAATATCTTTCCTCTCTCTACTGGTCACCTAAGACCAGTGATGGGGTTGTGGTTACAGCGCAGCGCAGGCACGCAGAGCTGCTCCTTCCTCCTGTGTCACCGACCCACCTTCAGTCTAGAATAATCTCTAGCGGTGTAAACAGCAGCACATGGCAGGGCTCAGATTAATAAAGCAACACTGGTCTCTGTCATCAAGAATCAGAATAAAACCCCAGTGTAGACATTGCCTTTAATGCAGCAAAAGCTTGTGGTGGAAATCCCCTGGATGAGTGTTGGAAGTGGACTTAGAATGATCTCACCAGAAATTAAATAGAAATACCGTCTAGACACCTTGTTCTGAAATAATCTTTTATTCTGTGAACAATTTAAATGGATTTTCTAGTCAAATTACATTAAGCCTGAGTTTAACTGTGTGCCTGTGAACATATATATGAGATAAGGTACAAAGCTGGAAAACGTGGTGTTTCAAATTGTATCCAGCAGAGATACAGTGTAAAACCACAATGTCTTAATGGCTTTAGTGACAAGCCATGCTACGGCTAAGTGGAATTCTTTTTATTCCTCCTCAAAAAGTGAAGTTATTTGTAGGTTATCTTGGTAGGTGTTCTGAATGGAGTGCACAAAACCAGAGTGATGTAGCTGACAGGTAATAGGTGTCAGATATGGACTATAAAAGCAATCACATTCCCATCACTGGGTAGGTTGCAAAATCTAGATTTTTCCTTACACTGTGAATTCAAGCAGTAACACTGTCTGGAGCAGCTCAGGAAGTAGCTGTAAAATACACATTTACTACCAGGTGCTGCTTTTAATTCCTTTGATGTATTATGTCTGTCAGCTTATCCATTCTCCATTCACGTTGCTCTCCAGAATCCAAATGAAGCGTAGATAATGCCAATAGTCACAGGGGGGGGTTTTGCCTGTTGCTAGATAATAATGTATTTATGAAATTACTTACAAGAAGCCAAACCTTTCTAATGCATTGTTTTAGTAGAGAAGGTGAACATAATAACTCCATTTCTTATATGTGCCCAGGTGACAGTGCTGTGAATTCTCTTCTCTCTTCTTAATTCAAGGATAATTTCTACAACTGATTTACTGTTGTACCTTCTCCAAATATGTTCATTGAGATAATAGATGGGCAAAGAAAAACAAATCAATGCTCACATCATAGTACATGCTATATTTTGCTCAGACTAAATTATATATAGTATTCTAAGGACATCTTTCTTGCTTGAAATAAAATAAGTGGAACAGACAACCCTTTCTGGATTGAGTAATTTCACAGAGGACTTTCTGTAGAAGATTCTGGATCTTCTTTTAAAATTCCACCAAAATTACTGTAAAGGAAAATCTACACATAGTATGAAAGCATGAAATAGAATGCAAGGGAATGAAAGCCTCTTCTAAAAAAAAACCTCACTTGTCAGAGCTTATGGATGAATATTGGTGTGGATATGTTCAGATGGTGCTCAGCACACAAAGTATTATCTTTCTGTCCTCGGGATGGTAGGAGGCACTCATGCTTGCTGAATTGTAGGTGGATCATGGGTTGATCTTACCTGCAAAGAGCATTCAGTCTAATAGTAAATGCGTGGGACATTTCTAATGTAGTAAACAGCACTGAGCGTGGATAAATGTCTTCACAGGGAAGGCAGAGGAAATGTCATGAGGGGAGGAGTGTGAGTAATGCATGAGATGAATGTCTGTGTGGGCACAGGAGGACAGAGAAGAGTAGTGAACTTTCTGAATGAAGCACATCAGAGCATGTTAGAAGGATTTTATTTTGCAGTGCTCATGTTCTTTTTGCAAACACGCCAAGGCAGCTAAGCACGTTCTGAAACCCCATACCAGTTATTAGGATGTCTTTTGCAAACTCGCTGATTTGGGATGCATATGGTCATTCCAAAACCATAGCTTTGGCAGAGCACTGTGACCACAGGAGGACGATCAGCATTATTTTGCAGTTGTTACCACGCTAGTGTGGGACTCTGTGAGACAGAAATGCCGAATGCGAGTCTTTTATAGTCAAATTGGAACAGTTAAAGAAAAGGATGATTTGAACATACAGAGCATTACTATCCTGAGGTATTTTGATGCAAAATGTCTTCCAATTACAGGAAATATATCACAGCTACAGGTTGACTTCCTCAGAATTTCATTGAAGGAAAAGGCAGCATTCCTGCAAGAGCAAACATTACAGTTTAGCATTGCAAAACACAACACTTCAAATATCATTTAAAATGGGATAAAAATGAAATATTTATAATGGGGAGAGGAAGAGGCAACATCAGAAGGAAAATGGAAATGGAATGTTTGGATGAGATGCAAACATTCCCTCATCACTGCCCCTGTTCCACTCATTGGGAAACACCCTCATATCTGACCTGATTTTAGAAGAGAAGATGTTATATCTTCTACTAGCAAAAAAAGAAAAAAAAAAACCCACCACATACATTTTTGTCTTTAACAAGTTGATGATATTACTTTCAGTGTTTTTGAAAATGATGTCACTAGTCTAATCTATGAAGATAGTTTATAGTGTTCTTAAACAGGATTACTTGCTGTGTTTATTTCCAATCTCATTCTCACAGGCTGATGGTAAGTAATATAGATCAGGTCACGGTCATGTTTCTGCAGCTGGATATTTATCCTCTCAAGGCAACTGTCCATCAAGAGCTGGATTTCCTGACAAGCAAGGCTTTTAAAACAATATAAGTGGGTGTCTTGCAATGCAGCAGGTGTTAGGGTGTCAGGCTTTCCCTGGCTGCCAGAGCACAGGTCTAGGGTCTGCCCTCCCTCCCCTCATCTCCCCTGTGGGGAGGCCAGGCCAGGTTAAGTGCTGGGAGGGCAGCAGGGCAGTGGGCAACCCTCCTCCAGATGGTACAATGAGTAATCTCTGCTCTAGATGAGTGAATTCTGAAAGACATCCCCAATGTGCAAAGTTGATCAAGTTCTGGCCTAATTAAAACACATTGCCTCTGTTATGTCTTTCTTCCTGCGGTGTCCAAGACAATAAGCTACAATAAAGGAGGGCTGGCTGTGTGGTTTTATGTATCTCTTAACAGGTCAAATAACTGTGGTATATGAGTGCTGATCATACAGAGAGACAAAAAGTTAAGATTTGTTAACTTTATCCCTCCTGCTAAGTTAATTTTGGTGCCTTTTTGACAGTTTTAATTAAACCATATTTCATTCTTTTCCATTCTCTACCAAATAAATACCTACAAACAGAACTATTGAACAGCTGAAACCTGTTTAAAACTACTTCTGCTTTGCCATATATTAAATTTTGTGATGTATAAAACATTTTAAAGTCAAAAGAAAAGTTTTTGTTTTCAAGACATTCAAATGTATTTATGCTGTCAATCCCTATGAGATCTCTAATAATCACCTAAACACACTGAACATCACTAAACTATACTTTGTAAGTACTTTCTCTGGCTTTGTAGAAAAACACAGACAATCCAATGCTGTTCAATGACTGATGTAAAATTTTCCCTTTATGCCTTTCAAGTGCTGTAGCAATAACTGTACTACCACTGTAAACAAGAACTATAAAAACATAAAAATATTTAAGAAGGTATGAAATTTTGGACAAACGTAGGCAGAAGTCATTAATAAATTATTAACTTATGAGTTAATTCTTAGTTTCTTTCTTTTGAAATAAATTCTTAGTTTATTTCTATCGAAATAAAACTCAAAGCTTAATTCCAGTTATCTTTATATCACCCGAGAGTGTAAGAGTATAATGTTGGCATGTGGTGTAGTTTTCTTGTGATTTTTCCATATCTGGTATTTCTCTGCAAGTCCAGAATTCATCCAGAACCCCGGTTTGTCTTTCTTTTGTTTTTGTTTTTTGTTTTTGTTCTTTTTTAATATTTTGGTTTTTTTCAAGCAAGTTTTTGACTTGCTGAAGGAAAGAACTTGAAAACCAACTCTAATTTTTTGACAACTAATAAACTAAAGAATTAAAAGAACTCAGAATACAATTACTTTTTAGTATTCTGATCTCATGCTTTAGAAAGAATTTTGTTCATGAATTGTCACTATTTACATTTATCAGTGTAACACAGTGAATGCTAGACCATTTTTTTTTTCATTGGTAAGTGATAGAATAATCCTCTACCAGAATTCCTTTTCAGTTTTGCACCCAAAATCATCTTGGAAAAAATAGAAAGTACCTTTAAATATGGACCAGATTATGATCTTGTAATAAAGTAAATCAGGTACAGTTAGTCTGGAAGCAAGAGAACAGAAATTTCATTAACTGTTATGAGACCATAATGTGGTGCTTCATTTTTATTCTCTCTGTGCTATGCAGACTACGTTATTTCTTATTTCTTTAATGCATTTGTTTTGGTAACCACTGTTACCTCTCAATTAATACATCAAATACCAGAATACATGCTTACCAAAATCATCCTGATTTTCCCTGTAAGCTGGTCTCCCCTTTCTCAGGAAAGCATCAGAAAAAAACCCCAAACAAAATACTCAAACAAAAATCAATAAAACAAAACAACAACCAAATCAACCAAACAAAAAAAAAAAAAACCACAAAACCCCAAAACAAAACAGAAAAAAACCAAAAACAACAACGACAAAAACAAACCCAGAATTGAATGACCTAATATTTTTATCTGAACAAACAGTGAGCCACTTCCAATTCTTTACCTGCTGGAACCACGAAGCTGACAGAACTGTCACCACAGAGGGGCAGGGTATTTCTGGTTACTTCCCCTTTGGGCTTCTGACACTAGAGTTTCCTGAGGGTTTTGTCTTTCACAGAGCAGCTGCTCAATATTTTGAGGACCTGAAAACTACCTAAATAGAATTTTAACACTTGAAACCTGAACATGGGTACCTTGTGGGAAATGAGAACTCAACACTGAAGGCTGCCTAAATTAAGAGTCACTTTTCCAAAGCTTAGAATCTGTACAACTGCTTTAAATATTTTGCCCTGGTAAGTCCATCTTTAATTTGTCCACAAATTTGTCACATCTAACAGAATCACAGTGCATATATGAGAGTCTCTTGCAGGGTCACAAAACTGAAAGTTATGGTTTCACTGATGAGGGACAGGAGGTCCCAGACTGGCTTTCCCTGAGCGGTTTGGACACCAGGGAATGCCTAGAACCTCCTTCTTGTCTCTGCAGTGTCCTCCTGAATTTGTGCCTCAGAAATATTTTTCCTCATATCTCAACGTTAGACTGCTCTGGAACCCAGGACCTGAAGCCCTTCAAGTACTCAGATGAGGGAGGGAGGGCAGGAAAAGAGATGGAATTTTGTCAGTGATCACACAGATTCCCATCAAAAATCCCATTTTATGTTTGTTGAAAATTCTTGGAAGGGTATAGTTTTCCAATGAAATAGTTTTGGTTGATTAAACACAGATTAATTGGAACATTTTTTGACCACCTAATTAGCCAGAAGTGGCCATCAAAGGTTGTGAAATCAATCTGATAATGGGAAGAATTTGCATTAAAAGGCTCGTCAGTCTCACAGTGGCAGAGATAACTGTATGTGAAAGTCATGACATTTTAGCGGGTTACTATTAATGTGACAGATGTGATTTAGAAAGAAATGTTTTATATTCTTTATTAACGAGTTTTATGATGATTTGCTAAAGAAATCTGCCATCTCCAGTTGTGCTAGGTGTCCTTTCATCTGCCTGTCAACTTCTCTCTGAACCTGATTAGCTTGACAGTAGGACAGACCTTAGACAACCATGTTACTGTCAATGTACACAAAAAAACATGTGCCCAGATAATTTCAAACCCTTTTAGAGGGAAGGCTGCAATGTCAGCTCAACCCTACTGGGAGACTCCAGTGAATCAGCTCTTGAGAAACCTGAAGAAAAGTAGCCTGTGTAAATACTGCTAACTGAGCTAAAACTGCCTTTTTCTTGTCCAGTTTGCTACCACTGATTAGCAGAGAAATGCAGTCAGCTCAGACTTCAGTTTTTTTGCTCAGAAAGGAGGAAGGTTGCTATGTGAAGGGAAAATTCAAATCAACTGACCAAATGCTGCAGGACCCCTCTGCTGTGTAGGTTATAAAGGCAACCCAAGAGGTGACTTCCAAGGCTTGGCTTGTTTGCCAAGCCGGCTGTAGGTGCATTTTGATCAGATTGATGGTTATTCTGGCAAGTCATGCAAATCTTGCAATGACACAAGGGACTGGATATATGTTGTCAGATAGTATTTTCTTTTCTATTTCCTCCCCTCTTACCCTGGTGCCTTCTCTTGCTTCCAAGATTTTACAACATCTGAAATGACAGTGTCAGAAATGACACAAAACTACATCACACAGGATATTGCCACCGCAGGAAAAGATGACTGAGGCAAGCTCAGGCTGTCTGAACTTCTACAAGAGCACTGTCATGTCTCATTCATTCCCTGATCACAGCTGCAGGACCAATGATTTTTCTTAGCACTGCGCTTTATTTTTTTGTGAGAAGGCTTATTTGAATGAAAATATTAATATAAGCAAATTAGTTTGGGCATGCTGAACTGAGGTAGAACCATTTGGACTTCTGATTTATTTTCTGTTCAGTAATTCAAGAAGTATATATGTATTCTGTCTCTGACTGATTTCTCTTCTGATGAGACTCACAGAAGGGTGCATTTAGACTGCATTAGCTCCTGTAGCCCTGAAACTCAGCTTCTCCATACCAGTGTGCTGATGCACTGAGACCAGACATAATGAGGTTCTTCTGCTCCCTCCTTTCCTCTGCAGAGTCTCTGGTAGATGGGTCAGAAAGCCAGGAGTTTTCTTTCTGACCATACAGTCTGACTTCAGGCATCACACAAAACTATTGCCTTCCCACAATAATAGATCCTTGCTCTCATATGAGTTGTATTTATTGCATTGTCACTTTATTCTGTAACATATTTTCTCTCTGTCCTTTATCAGCTGTGGTTGTTGAAGCCTTTCATGGGCTATGGGAAATAGAACACAATATACACTGAGGGAGATGTCATGGACCTTCCACACATTCATTCTCAGCAAGGTTTTGTGCAAGAAGTAGGGAAAGGGCCATGATCTATATAGAAAATGCATATGGTGGGGCAGTATTACTGTAGCTGTAAGATTCAATAGCATTTACTCAAGGAACACTTTTGGGGATCACAGCCTACAGTCTATAAGGATGTAAACCTCCAGAGGGAAAGAAAAAAGTCTGCTAGGGGTTACTGTGTTGATTTTCTTATCAAAAAAAGAGATAGCAAGGGTACAGTGTTGAAGGGACTGAGAAAGTCCTGCAAGTCTGTAATAACAAGTGTCTTGAAGTATTACAAAGCTTAAGTAAACCAACTGGACAGGTTTTATAGATGTTATTTCTCATTCCTTGAGTCTAGTGCTTCTGAAAATAGTTTTAGTTCTGCAGCACACAAGGAAAGAGTCTGTTGTCATCCTAAATAACCTGAGGAAATGTGAGAATTACAAAAATAAAAATTAAATTAGGAAAAGAAAGATGAAATAAGACAAGCTTACATTCAGATTATGGGCCCTTGCTTCCCTCTCACTGTGACTGGGGAATAGCTCCTAGCAAAGTCAAGGTGTTGATAAAGTTAAAAGAAGAAGGGGAGATTGAATAATTTCATTTTCTAATGAAATGTGTCCTTCTTTGGAGGAAAAATATGTTAGTGGTTAAAGGAATAAAAGAAAAACTGACCATGAGGTTATAGAAAAGTGTTGAAGACCACCTCAGAATTCCAGCAAACCTGGACAATGGGTGACAAGGCCAGCAGTCTGTTGTAAGAGCTGGAAAATGGGAGCACTCCTCCTGCTCCTCACTGATCTCAGAGATGCAGTCAGAGCCAGCTTCTGACACACTATTTTTCTGCCAGTGCTTTCCTTTCTTCCTCCATCCATCAAGCTTCATCTGGTGAAGTTTCCATGTTTTCATTGCTGAAGACTGAAAGCTGCAATGTGGCTGGAACAAGTAATAAGAAAGTGTATTTACAGTGCTGCAGAAGTTTATTTCATGGGCACTTTTGCAAACAGAAGTCCAGAAGTAGGGGAGGGAAATTTGGTATAACACTTAAAAATGGTTTAAAAAAATTTATATGAAGAATTGTACAAGAAACTTAAAAAAACTTGTCCTTAAAAAGAAGATATTCTACAATCTAGTGGAATATGGTTTGCTATGAACTCTTACCTGTTGCTCTTTTAATCCTTTTTTGTCTTCTCCACTTGCTTCTTGTAGGTAATGTGCCCATTGGCTGCTGGATGAATACTGTGAGATTTCCTGGCTGGTTTTGGACTTTTGTAGGATAAATCTACGCTGAGTTATCAATGACTTTTCTCCAGAAAGTAAATAATTGTTTCTATGTGACACAGTTGCTAACTAATGCTTTTAGGGTTTGTATTTGAAAGTTACCTCTGTTGAATTTGAATTTGAAATTGCCCAGAGAGTGACAAAAATTATTAGTGAATGGACTGGAACAGACATACATAGATTGACAGCAAAAGTCTTGGTTTAGCCGGAAACCAGAATACAAATTATGTAAAAAAGATATAATTTTAAAGAAGGGTCATCTGGGAAGTGCTGACTATCTTCTCCCATGTGCTGTAAATCAAGGCTTGCTTGTCCAAAAAAGAGAGACAGGTTGTTAAAGAGTTCAGTTTATCTTGCTCATCACGTATATATGCTAGTTAGGGATCAAAATAAAATATTTAAGGTACCAGAAAAACAAGATGACTTGCAGTGACTGTTCCCCCAGCAGACTTTTCCCAGACTGCTCACGTATCTTGGTGAAACAAAGCGGCGCATTTGCTGCAGTAGAAAGACTCGGTGCCAGAGGGCTGTAGGACACATTGCTTCCTCTCATAAGGCTGCAGATACCTGCTTCAAGATGTGCTCATCATTTTGCTACCCCTTTCCTTAAATAATAAATTTGATCACTGTTGTTTCCTGGCCTACACGGCTTGGACTGCTGGGCTTTCATCTGAGTTGTGGTTTCGAGCAGGCTGTTGAGTTCGTTTTCAATGTAATGAGAGCTTGCTGATCCTTGTGATGCTTATTCATGGGATCAGACATTACCCAAGACCTGGATTTTAAATAAAACCGTGGTACGCATTTTATGTTGAAGAAAAAAAAATACTCTTGTCAGGAATAATTTTTTGAAATCCAATTTATAATTTATCCTTTTTAATTGTTAGTCGTGTATAATAAGTTTGAAATTATCCTGAATGTAACGTAGTTATTCCAACTATTGGTTGAGTAATTTCCATGAGTAATTCTTGGCTTAGGATTTGTCTCTTACCTTTAGACAGGTAACTGTCTATTTTCTGTCCAGCTAAACCCTTCAGAATGATCCTTCTGGTAAATACATATGAAAGTTCAAAAACCTCTCCAAGTTCATGAAACATTTAATTCACTTATTTAGAAAAGGTACACAAATGTGAACAGAGTGGAAGTAATCTAATGTGCTCATGCAAATAAATATCCACTGTTAAAAAACACACCTGTGCTTTGTTGCTTCTTGTGGTTTGTGTTTATAAAATAGTCAAACCAAGATCTGGATGGCTTGGAGGAGACATTGCTCAGCTAAATATGATAACTGGACTCTCTAAAAGGTTAACTTGACTAAATTAGGTGAGATTATTAGCTGATCCAGTGGTGTCTCTTTATTTAAAATCTGATTTAGCTGTTGCATAGAAATGGTATACACCTGTATATCTAAATTATGTCTTGCACTTAACTTCCCAGTAGTACTCAGCATTAATGGGAAAAAGCAACTACATTTTAAAGTGGTTTCTACTGTAAAGTAGTGGCAATATCTACACAGACTTGTAGGCTGCCCATAAATAGTACCTGTATATAATAGGTACAAAAATTCCTTATGTGTTGAAGGTAAGAGAATAAATTTGTGGCATGCTATGATTAGGAAAAAGCTACCATTTGAAGATGCTTCGAGGTTGGGCGCTTTAGCTTTAGTCCTGGGAGAGAAGGATTGCAATAAGGCAATTACAGATGCGTACTAAATTAATTAATCCCACAGCTTTATCACACAGCTGACATTTCTGAGAAATAATTTGCAGGGAAAAAAAGCTTCCTCATATTCATTCACATATGGGATTTTCTGTTCAGCAGCGTGGCTGAACTGCAGGGTTCTGAATGTGCTCAGTACCAAAAGAGGTGAGTAACAGGGATGGGAAACCAGATGAATAGATGTTGAGAACTACGAGGGCATTGCCAGGGTGTGCAGAGATGCAGTGAGAAATGCAAAAGCTCAGCTCAAATTGAAATCAGCCAGAGGGGTCAAAAACTGCAACAAAGGGTTTCTTCAGGTATGTAGGAGCAGAAACAGAAGGAAAACTGGCAGCTTGTCACAAGTGGAGGCCCCCAGGAATCCATATTTGACCCAACACTGTTTAGTGTCTTCATAAGAGATGTGGAAGTCGGGATCAAGTGTACCCTGATGAAGTTTACCAATGACACCAAACTGAGTGGGTAAGTGGACATTTCAGAAGGGAAAGCCACCCTGCAGAGAGACCTGGATAGGCTGGAGGAATGGGCTAACAAGAACCTTATAAAGTTCAACAGGGACAAGCATAAGGTCTTGCACCTGGGAAAACATAACCCAGGAGTGTAGCACAGGCTGGAATCTACTCAGCTGGGGAGCAGGTCTGTGGGAAGGGAGCTGGGGTACAAGGTCGGTATGAATGAGCAGTGTGCTGCTGAGGCAAAGCAAAGCAACAGGATGCTGGGCTGCATCAACAAGGGCATCACCAGCAGAGGTGCAAGAGTCATTACTCCGTTCTACTCAGTGCTTGCCAGGACACATCTGGAATATTGTCCTCAGTTTTAGTTCCTGCTATATTAAAAAGATGTGGGCAGGCTGGAGAGGGTCCAGAGAAAGGCCACAAAGAGGATCAAAGGACTGGGAACCTGCCATAGGAGGAAAGAATGATATAGCTAGTTTTGTTTAGCCTTGAGAAAAGAAGGCTTAGGGGAGACCTTATCACCATGTTCCAGTGTTTAAAGGGTGGCTACGAAAGAGATGGACACTCCCTTTTTACAAGGAGTGTAAAAGGAAAAGATGAGAAGTGATGGGCACAAGTTACTCCCGGCTAGATTCTGATTGTACTCAAAAGTAAAATTTTCGTAACGAGAAGCCACCTTTGGAATGAACTGCCCAAGGAAGTGATGGATTCCCCAGTGTTGGACCCTTTGAAGATTTGCCTGGACAGAATACTGAGCCATCTTGCCTATACCCTGCTTTTGCCGAGAAAGGTTGGACCATGTGATCCTTGAGATCCCTTCCAACCAGGTATTCTTATCATTCTATAACATGTTTCGCTTTATGTCAGGGATAAAGAAGACTAAATTCTGGGGTAAAAGCTTATCTATTTATATATTATAAGTTTTATTGTGTTTTATAACTCTAAATTACAAAGGCAAATTTTTGTATAGTTCAATGGACCTAATACTTCTGGTTGCAAAATTACCACAGAAAATAGACTTTAAAATTGGCAGTTCTTTCTATATAGAACTAACATTTTTAGATATATTTGTGGTTCTTTGATAGGCAGTTATATAAAGATTCAAATCAAATGGCATTAGGCATCCAAATAGCAAGCATTTAATCCAACAAATGTGAGATGTGTGGGCTTCAACTACCTGCCTAGGATGGACTGTAGCTACTGGAGAGAAATGGGAAGGGCCTAAGCTTCATGTGTTTCCCACGGGGAGAGATGAGCCCCTTCTGCTCATGTTTGTGTTCTTCACTGACTTGGAGGAAAGCCTAGAGAAACTATCTCAGATAGATAGAAATCTGCCCTAGCTGAGGAAAAAAGGATAGTTCACATTAAGGCTTTTAAATAATTTTTACCAGAGAGAAAAAGAAAACCAGGATCATTTATGTGTACTTTATATGCATATTTACAGAGAGGCACATGTGTGCCCTTCGTATGTTTGCCAGGCTCTGAACCAATTTACAGTAATTGTACTTTAGAGAGTAAAAGGGCTGGGCTGGTACATGGGGTTATGGCATACTGGCACTTCTCCCAGGCTGTCGACACGTACAATTGAATCTTATCTTTCATTTCTGCTCCTGCTGTGAAAAATAAGCCTTAAAAACATTTATTGACTGATGCAGCTGTGTCCACCCGCATTTGCAACCTGAACCAGTGCCAGCAATAGATGTGAGCTGGCCCTTTCATTTCCATGGCTATCACAGGGTTTATATGATAGTAGTGCAGAAGTCAATATTAAGTGCTACTTTGCAAAAGAGTGGGGAGGAATCACATCAGGAAGATTTACACATCTATCTCTGAGTGGCCCTTCATTTCCATGAAGATGGAGTAGATAACACTACAGCTCGCTCTTTTTAAAGTCAAAAATAGCATCCCTACATGCTACTGCATATCTCACCCATCTCACACTTAATTTTTAGGCTACAAATAGATTTCAAGGCCAGATTTCTGTTTTGTTTCTGTTTGTTACTCCTTCTGCATCTGCTTAGCATGAACAGCATTTTTTACTACCTTTTGAGTTAGATTTTCTTATAGCAAAAAGTTCTCTTTACTGTATTCTAAATTAAACTTTCATGTCTTTTCAGCCTGCATATATTTTTTAGTCAAGGATGATACTGAAAATATTAAGGAGTTCATTAAAAATTATGATTAATCAATTTTATTACAATAGCACTTAGAAGCCCCTGCTGAGACAGGAGACCTATTGCACTGGGCACTGTAGGGACACATAAAAGAGTGAGTTTCTGCTTCAAAGAGCTGAAAATTGAACCAGAAAAGACATGTTTCTTTTGGCTTAAGGGAAGCTGAATAAGGGCTTTTGTGATATTCTTGAGCAAGCTGGAAGCGCCACGTTTCATTGAAACCTTTTCTTTTTAATTCCACTGTTTCACAAAAAATATATAATGAATGAAGCTGGATTCAATTTTCAATTAAAAGAATCTCAGTCTATCTGCTGCTCTGTCTCCCCATAGCCTCCTCCTTTTGCTTTCTTCATTCTTCCTGTGCAGGAGCTGTACGACAGCTGTTCCTGTTC